TTGACTGTAGTAAAAAGTATTATGACGATTTTATTTATCATATCTCTCAAAACTATCAAAACTTGGTGCAGGCAGTTGAATACTGGCTTATTAAGCTTAAAAAATGCCAGATTAATGTACATGTTTGGACCGTCTTTACTTGTGTCTACTTTTATCTAATATGTGGTTTTCTTTCTATGTTCTATATCTCACTGCCCACCCTGTTTTTTATCAGAATGCTAGACTCTTTTATAATTTTGTGGTTGTTTTATTACAGTTATAAGATTCTTTTTTTAATGTTGTAGAACTTCGTATAGTATCTATTATGATGAATTTACTTCCATAATCTTACTAATATTAAATTCCTTGGAAAGTGTTTAAGCCAATGTACTAGTTCTTATACAAAGTTCTAGTTACCCAATTCTATCTATCGTAGCTCAACAACTTTTGCTACTCTTTTGAAATAACTCTATACCGTTACTATTAACATTTACTTACTGTCTACGTTTTACTTCCGTGTAAAACAGTAAATAATAAGAGTACAATGACTTTAATTTTTTTAAACGCTCTTTCTGCTAATAATAATAAATTTTATTTCTTTTATTTTATGCCCAGACATACTTATCTTGCTTACTCAGTAAGAGTATCAGAAATTTGGATCTTAATTTTTTGTTACTGCCTGCAGTATTTTGAAAATTGATGAAGCCTCGTATCTCTTCTGGTTTGCATGGCTTAACTCTAAATCTGTTTCGATGAACATACTAGATCATTAAAGAATTACATTAAAAAAAAGTATCAGGTTCTTAAGCTCATGTTAACTTTGAATTTATAGGAAAATTAACACCATGTGAGAGAACTTTTTATTTTGTTGTGACTGTACACTTTTTTTTTAAACTTCTATTATAAAAGATATGATAGACTTCTGTATTACAAGGTCATGCATTTCTTATTAAATATTTAAATAAGGCGTTATTTTAAAATCAATTGATTTCTAGTAGAAGGTAATCATTAGAGTTACTATTCTTTTATTACTTGTCTTGCATTATGATTCGAAGCCGAAACAAAAGTGGTTCGAGATATTAGGTTTGAAGTCACTGACATTGCAGACTATCCACAATTTGAACGTCCAAGAGAGGTTACTACTTCTGCTACCCAAAAGCATGTGGGCTCTGCAAAATTAAAGACGTATGAAATCAGTCTATTTCCATGTAAAATGGAAAGATGCTTATGAATAATCCGTAAAAAGCTCCAGTTTTAGTTTCGGAAGGGTAAAAAAAGGATCGGTTATACCTTATAGATAATGGCGTATGGATCGCACTCTTATGAAAAAGTCGAATTTTACTTGATTTAAATTTAACCAGCCCTCTTTAAACAATATTTTAACGTGAATATAATTAATTATTACAAGTTTGTATATTATGTAATAACTTTATCATAGTGATTAAAGTGAAATACTTAATTGAGGCTACTTTTGCTAATGACAACTATGCAGTACATTATATACAGACAGGCAAGAAATTACAGTTAGAGTATTTTGTAGTGCCTGCTCACTAAAATCTTAAAATGTTGACTCATAATGGTCTCAAAGACAGTCATGAACTCTCACATTGCGTCAATGGTGATTGTTAACTGCAAAAGGTTTTAATTCTATCTCATTGCTACCGTCCACGATATCAGAGGTGCAAAGCTCTCCAAGACCCTGCCTTGACCGTCGATCATCAGTAAACTGGGATGCATACTATGAGCATTTTCAAACATCCAAGTACAGAAGTATAAGGATTTTACCTTCCCTTACTCCCACTCACCGTACCACTGATCAACTTGTTGTCTCTACCATCAGTTGTAAATTGAACTGCTTCCTCCATCACTTGTCAACCCTCGTTTGTTAATTTGACACATTCTCAGAGATGTTAAGCCAGTAAGCGAGGGGGAAGCCTGACAGGGTGAAATATGGTGGTGAGGGAAATGATATTTGCTACGAAAATCTTTGAAAAGGAGAAGTAAAATTAGCTTTTTAAGATCTCACAAAATTGGATTGAAACAAAATTTCTCTTTAGGAGTATCATGTTGTAATGAATTTAAGGAATAAGTGAAAAAATTTTTGAACAGCTCGATTTTGTTTTATTTAAACCCTCATAAATTGCGTCTATTACGAGCAATAATACAAATTAAGCTACTGTAGACTTATTTACTTAACTAGTTATAAAAACCTTTATCTTTTACACGTTGCTTTAATAAATATATGAATAATGATCAGCGTAAATAAAATATCGTGCTACAATTGCATTTAACGTGTGTTTAGTTTTTACCTTTACCTTTACCGTTTTGAATTTTTTTTTACATGAAGATGAGACAAAAATAAAAAAAAAGTTCAAGATTATGTTTGAACATGAAATGACTTCTCTTAATTTGTGCACCGTAATCTTCTTGCTGCCTTTCAAATGAATAAAAATTATTATTAATTTTTTTTTTAAAACCTTAGCAATTTTTTAAAATGTGCTTTTTTTGTGCTATATCAAGGTTGTTACCTAATCATTAAAAACTAATACTTACAAGTCTGTACGTATTTTCTACAAATTTTAGAAGCTTTTTTACATTTTTTTTTAATTCATAAAGATATTGCTGCAATACAGAAAGTAAGTTTATGGTTTTACATAGCCACTTATCTCTTGTGCTAATAATCTCTTGTCATACGCTACCCAACACAGGACTTCTTGTGTATACAAAACAGTCGCGTGACCACTACCTAAAAGGTCTAAGGTAAAGGCCTAAAATTTCTTTCCTATTCTACACATTCACACTCATACGTGCACACACTCATACACAAACCTTTACTTAATTTTAGTCGTAAATGGAAACACTTCTGTATATATGTGTGAGTACTGACTTATCAATTAGCTTTTTTTTTTAACAATTCAATGTCCTTTAAAATAAAAAAATGCATAACTGGGAATTAAAATAGTTTTTATTACCCAGCGTCCATAATCTTATTTAAATTTTTTATTTAAATAACGCAGGACTTTCAGATTCTAAGTTTGTTGTATTTAATTCTTTCTTGAAACTTAAAAAATTTTTTAGATTTTCAATCGATACAATTTAATTTAACACGACATCAAGCTTTCTTACTTCAAAACCAGACAGCTAAGTTAATATAATTTCAGCCCTCTCGGTACAGAAATCAAGAAAATCAAGTAGTTTTAACTGACTTATTTTTAACTAAAAAACTTGATTTGTAAAGTCCAAGTCATGAAATGTCTTATTGAGTAATTCAACAAAGTTTTTGAAGTTGCTAAAAAAAAATTAGGCAAAGTTAAAATTTAAGAATCTCATATTATTTGAATGAAAAAAAATGCTTTAGAGACACGTGTTAACTTGAGTTTTTTGACTTCTGTGCTACATATTCTCATTTTAGGGTACAATAAATAGTTTTTAAAGGGTAGATGATCAAAAAATTTAAAATTGTCAATAACAGACGTATTATTGTGTATACTTGTATATTAAAATCATAATGCTAATCCGGCCATGATACCAATACACCATAAGCCAATGAAAAGAGAAAGAGACAGAAAGCAATAAAGTAAGCACATTAGTAGTAAGAACCTGATATAAAATCTCACCTTGTTATAACAGAAGCCCAGTTAAGGCCCTATTACCTATTACCACGACGTTATAATGATTGATCTTATGTTGTTTTTAAACTTACTTAAATTTATGATCAAATTGTTTTGCACTGCAAATGAATTTAAATATGATCATAATGTGTTTCCTTATTTTTTTTAGTTGCTATAATTACTGATCCTTTTCCTTTACGTTTTGTTCTTAACAAAAACTCTTTTGGTATTTGATCAACTACCTATAACAACACGTATGACATGAAGTGCACAAAAAGTCTACCTCCATGTGGTGCATTCCGGATAAACTAAATGACTTCGTACTATTACACAGAGTCTATCTGCAATGTATAATTAAAAGTCTATACAGTAAAATGTATGTGAAAGTATCTGCAAAAAAGTATTTGCATAAATCAGGCCAATAGTTCTGCCATAGATACAACTATGGATGCCACTGAAAAAACTGTGAAAAGGGTATAAAAAAGCAGACAAAAGCTTTGACTAAAAATAAAATAAATGTGAAACGACTCAGAAGAGTGTAAGGCAAAGAAACCATTGTTTATAATAACTACAAATCTAATTGGTTTTTGCCTGAACTCTTGAAGAAAAATGATAGCTGTTAACCAGGGGTAGAAAAACCAGAAAAAGGTATAGAAGGTCTTTCAAAGCACATATGAGAGTTGTATTCTCGTAAAGGGGCTTGAAGGGGGTAAGAGTGACGTATTAGAGTACGTAAGTATTAGAGAAGGAGCACTGATTTGAAAACATTATCGATAATTGGGTACAAGATTAGCTAGCTTCTTGGCCATCAGCATTTACACCCATGGTACACAAAGTATCCATGTATTTTACAGTTGCGAAATTTTTTTTTATTGAATTTTTTGTGATTTTTCAATTTTTTTTTTATTCTGCTCTACCATGTACAGATGACGTGACTCAGAAACCGTGCGCGACTCTCCCTTCCAGCGAGGGAGAACAACTCACTTGTCCAATCGTGCTCGTAGGATGCAGTAGTGACTTTCTTCGCTACGCGAGTAACATCATTATTTGAGATTCTGTCAATTCCTTTTACATACAATTATCCAAGTAAACACGATTTCATCACTGTGAAATACGCACATGTAAGAATCGAATTAATAAACTTTTCTTTAATTTATATTTGCGTAATAAAAATTTACTTAAACATAATCTGTTGAAAGGTTATGGGCCTAGACTGCATGTGAGTATCTACGTGTGTGCGCAGGAGAGTTCTCGAAGTGTCGAACTTGTACGCCGCGAGTTAACACGTTTTTTTCTTCCTTTTGTGAAATACGTACAGTGAAGTCAGCACTCGGAAAAATGATGACCAAGGTATCTCCCAGTCACGTGTCGAAATTCGACGGGAAGAATTTCCAAGTTTGAAAATTCCAAATGAAGACCTTACTCACCGCTCACGGTGTTTACAGCATTGCCACAGGTGACAGGACGAAACTAACTATGGGTGAGGAAGCAATGGACAAGTGGGAGAAAGACAATGCTAGAGCAATGTGCTTGATCTCGTCAGCAATGACATATGATCAGCTAGAGCCTTTGACAAATTGCTCTATGGCGAAGGATATGTGGTCCCTCCTGGCCACTGTGCATGAGCAGAAGCGTGAGACAAACAAGCTTATCATGATGCAAAAATTTTACGAATACAAGATGCAGCCCAACGACTCTGTCATGCAACACATAGCTAAAGTACAAAGCCTCGCCAATGCACTCAAGGACTTGAAGGAAAATATCTCCGATATCTCCATTATGGATCGCTGCCTTCAAAATTTGATGCCCTCGTCATGGCATGGGACAGCGTTGAAGCCAGCAAGCAGACAATTACGAACTTACAAGAACGCCTCATAAAAGAAGAAGAGCGCATGGCGTATAAGGACGGGGAGGCGAGTGCAGCATTTTCTTCAATGACGCTTAAGAGCAGCGAGAGTAAGGAGACGAAGAAAGAGGCCCAGGGAGATCAACAACAGGACCAAGAGAGTAAGTTTAGTTCAAGAGAAACAGGTATAATTTGCTACTATTGCAAGAAGCCCGGGCATATCGCGAAGTATTGCCGCAAGAAGGAAAACAAAACCAAGTCCAAGGAAAATACGACGTCGAGCTCAGAATTCAAGGGAGCTTTCGTCGTAACAACATCCGACCCGAATTCGCAGAAATACAACGATTGGATGCTCTATTTAAAAGAGGAGCAGGTAATGCGGGCCGATACAGCAGACACTTGGATTACCGACAGTGGTGCTTCTCGGCATCTGTCTTTTCGACGTGACTGGATGCACGATTTTGTACCGACGAAGAGCGAAACTATATGCTTAGGCGACGACGGCAAATGCGAGGTATTGGGCCACGGTACAGTATACATAAAAAAATGGCTGAATAACAGCTGGGTCGACGAAAAAATCGAGAACGTTTACCTAGTGCCGAAATTAAAAAAAAACTTGTTCTCAGTTGGCGTGTGCACCTTGCGAGATCTTCATGTCATGTTCGAGCAGCAAAATGCAAATATATATCATGAGACGGAGCTCGTCGGTCGAGGCCTAAAGCAAGAGAACGACGTCTATAGGATGCTTATTCGCGTACAAGTGAAGTGCGAGGCAAACACAGCGATGGCTAATTTACAGAAATAGCACAAGAGGTTAGGTCATGCATGCAAGGAGACCGTCCTTAAACTAGCCAATGAAAAAACTACACATGGAGTAAATATTAATAGCAAGAAAGATTTTGTCTGCGAGCCGTGTCAATACGGCAAGGCGCATCGGCTGCCGTTTCAAAACACCAACGTGAAGCAGCCAGCTAAGGAGCCCAGAGAGTTTTTCTACACGGATCTGTGTGGACCTATGCAGACGGAATCGCTTGGCAAAGCCAAATATTTCTTGTTGTTCAAGGATGCCGCTACAGGTTATAAGTATGTTTATTTCCTAAAAAACAAAGCCGATGTGTACGATTGTTTTGTCGACTTCGAAAGGAAAATAAACAACAAGTTTGGCCGACCCATAAAAATTCTAAGGAGCGACAACGGCCGCGAATTCATTAACGAGAAGATGAATGCTTACCTTTCGAATTTCGGCATCGTGCACGAGACTACCGTGCCATACACCCCACAGCAAAACGGAGCTTCCGAGCGCGAAATGCGCACTATAGTGGAGAGTGTGAGGACCGTGCTGCACGCCAAGAAGCTGCCGTATTTTCTCTGGGCAGAGGCCATGAACACAGTGGTTTACTTACAAAACCGGCTGCCCAATGCTAGATGCAGGGGTGCTACGCCTTACGAGATCTGGTTTGATAAAAAGCCCTGCATGACTCATCTTAGAGTATTTGGAGCACAGGCACATGTGCACGTGCCGAAACTTTTCCGGCAAAAACTGGATGCTAAGGCGGTTAAAATGATTTTAGTGGTTTACGAGAATTATTCAGCGAACTATCGCTTATATAATCCAAATTCTAGGAAAGTCGTGGAATCTCGAGACGTAACCTTCCCTGAGGACGCCCAAAGCGAGCTCGAAGGCGTCAAGTACATGGAAATGCCAAGACCACCTGAAGACCCAAGCAGGAGAGAGACCTTCCCTCCCTACGACGCTGATGTCGAGCATATCCAGGTTGACGAGTTGCCTGCACTAGAGAACGCACAGATGGAGGACCCTGATGATGACTTTCGACCTGATGGAGGCTGTGACAGCGCTGGCTCGAGGCCTGTCACTCCCGATGGGGCTCCAGCTTAAGAAATCGTCTGAAGATTAAACAGCCCGTCAGGTACGATGGATGCGTTGCAGAGTGGAATGCGCCCCAAACATTCACAGCGGCTATTACAGCTCGTGACGCTGAGATGTGGCGCAAGACCATAAAGGAGGAGCTCACTGCGCTAGAGCGCAATCACACGTGGGATGTCGTGAAAACTCCTCCAGATTGCAGGCCAGTCGACACGAAATGGGTTTTTCGAATTCAACCAAACAAGTCCGGTGTTGGCAAGCGATACAAGGCAAGACTTTGCGCACGTAGTTTCAAACAATTTTACGGATTAGATTACGAAGAAACTTTTTTGCCGGTAGTTAAATATGATTCGGTCCGTGTTCTTCTCGCGTTAGCAGCCCGGGATGATTTAGAAATTACTCAATTCGATGTAAAAACGGCTTTTTTATTTGGTGAACTTCATGAAGATATCTATGTAAATGTGCCCAAAGGTACAAATGTAAAAAATAAAAATAATAAGGTTTCTAAGTTAAACAAAGCGCTGTATGGAGTGAAACAAGCTTCGCGATGCTGGAACAAAGAATTTTCTAATTTTATCTCGAAGCTAGGTTTTCGCGCATCCCGATCTAACGAATCGATTTTCATTGGTGACGTATCAAATGAGAGAATTATTCTCGCCGTATTCCTGGACGATGGTTTAATTATTTCGAAATTGCCTGACGTGAACAACTTTATTGTTAACGAGCTGGAAAAATGATTTGATATCGTTGTAACAGATCCAGGATTATTTATTGGTATTCAAATAGAGCGTGATAGGGTGCAACAAAAAATTTTCTTGCATCAGTTCAAGTACGCGATGGAAATTTTAAATCGTTTTAATATGTTAGATGCGAATCCTGTTAGCATTCCCGCTGAGTCTAACATAGGCGAAAAAGACAAAATGTCGACACAAAATTCAAAATTACCTTTTAGAGAGCTTATAGGCTCTTTGCTATGTTTATGTAATGTAACGCGTCCTAATTTATCCTTTTCTGTCAATCGAATTAGTAGATATGTAAACGAGTTAAATGAATCCCATTGGAACGCTGAAAAGCCATTTTTAAAATATTTAGAAGGCTCTTATAACATGGGAATCGAATATTGTAACTCTGGCGAATCATTAAAATTAATCTGATATTGTGATTCAGATTTTGGGGGAGATTTTGATACTCGACGGTCTACTTCCGGATTCTTTTTTGAATTAGGATTTAATCCTATCTCATGTAAATCCCAGAGGCAAAAATGTGTAGCGCTTAGTACAACAGAGGCAGAGTATGTATCTGCGAGCCTCGCCGCTAGAGAAGCCATATGGCTAAAAAGATTGTTAGATGATATTGAATGTCCAGTGTCAGGCGCAACTATTTTGCATATAGACAATCAAAGTGCTGTGAAACTTGTTAAAAATCCCGAATTTCATCAACGCTTGAAGCACATAGACATCCAATATCATTTCATTCGTGAAAGATACGAAGCAAAAGAAATTAATGTAAAGTATGTATTAAGCGACAATCAGAAGGCAGATATTTTCACGAAAGCCTTACCAAGAAATCGTTTTGAACGTTTGCGAGAATCAATAGGCCTCACTCGATTGAATGATAATAAATGTTTTGACCATTAAATTCAATGCACATTTTGATTGTAGAGAGAATGCTCAAAAAGGAGACGTTTTGTAATTTTTCAATTTTTTTTGTATTCTGCTCTACCATGTACAGATGACGTGACTCAGAAACCGTGCACGACTCTCCCTCCCAGTGAGGGAGAACAACTCACTTGTCCAATCGTGCTCGTAGGATGCAGTCGTGACTTTCTTCGCTACGCGAGTAACATCATTATTTGAGATTCTGTCAATTCCTTTTTCATACAATTATTGAAGTAAACACGATTTCATCACTGTGAAATACGCACATATAAGAATCAAATTAATAAACTTTTCTTTAATTTATATTTGTGTAATAAACATTTACTTAAACATAATTTGCTGAAAGAATTAGTCCTTTGACCACCAAATTCTCACTAGCAGCTCACAGTCAGCAATAAGTTTTTAAGCTAGTTGATTGATCATTGGCATTTTCAACCATGGCCCACATTTATCCATAAGTTCTTAAGCAAGTGGCTTAGCCCTTGGCACTTGCTCTAATAGCACACAATTTACAACAAAGTCTTGAGCTTGTTGCTTAGCTATCAGTACTTGCACCAATAGTTTGCAACGTAGAAATGAGGTTTTTAATTTTTAATGAAAGTTAGTTGATCAGTCACAAGCATTTTTACCAGCAGCACATAATTTAGCTATAAGATTTCTGATATTTTTAAAAAATTTTTAGTCTCTTGTTCGGCCACTAATATAGAAATTGCGTAGCAGACAAATGAAGAAATACACAGAGGGCTTATTGCGTTATGAGGTAATTGGGTTATTAGTATACAGTGTTTAGGTTAATGTAAAATGTAAGCTCAAAAGAAGACGAAAAAAGGGAGGAGAAAGACGAGAAAAAAAAGTACTTTGAGCGTAGGCTTAATGGAACATCTGCATCCTGAAATTGTTGCTAGAACTTAAAACGAAGAGCTTGGATCAGTTTACTGTGTAAAAGTATCCAGCCATTAAATTTTTTAACTTCTGCTTGCAGTTACAGTGTTTCTTGAATAATTGTTATGGTAAGTAATTAGTTAAAAACACTATTCAAGAAATTCAATACGTTACTTATATATTTTTGAAGTTATTCCATTCTAATGTTTGTTAGATACATTTTTAATTGTTATATAGTTTTATTTTCTGACACTTATTAACATTCAACCATTTAAAATTTTAAAGAGAAAAAAAAATTGATATTTCTTGTATAATTTAGTCAGACCAGATCGTTACATAACTGCAATGTATAATTAAAAGTCTATACAGTAAAATNAGACAATGTTAAGATTTTCACTAATGATATTCCTGCAGAGGATGAAACAGCAAAAAATGTTTTATGCACTAAAAATATTAGCGGTTAGAATTATTTTTGTATTAGTTTTGCCATTTATTGTATGTAATTTAATACCTTTTTTATTTATTTTATTGCTTTATGTAATACTTTTTCTATTTATTTTAGTGGCATTTTCAGTTTTAGGAAATATTTGTTGTCAATCAGATTTAA